AGGAATGTAGATGTAGAATATTACTTATTCATTTTGAACATCAAGAATTGTCCTTTGGGGAGTCTTTCATAGATACTGCAAATGAAGCCTTACCTAACACTGATGAGAAATTTTCCAGGAAATATAAGTCAGGGTATTAAGGGACACATTATACACCTTTATGATCAAAAGAGGGAAGGAACGAAGGTCAAACAGAGGGTGTGGAAAGGGCATATGCAATCAGGAGCCAAGCCCCATTTATTCTACCTCCCCAAAACCTCTCCCATCCCTTTCCTCCTTTCCAATTGCCACGGCAACCGTCCTGCTCAAGGGCTTCATTACCTCTTGACTGTGCAATTGTAATAGCCTTCTATTTGTTCTTCCTAAACCATATTTTAGATTGCATCATTCACCCACTCATAGACCTTAAATTACTCCCCCATTACCTATTAAAGTACAAACTTCTGGCCTTTGAGGCCCTTGGAAATCTCATACCAAACTATCTTCCTGCCCCCGGCCCTCATTTCTCTTTTCAGAATATTCTATGCAAATTACAAACTCAACTACTTCATAGCCTACAAATCAGCCCCCTGCTTCTCTGCCCTCTGATCTTTGCTCTAACATCCTCTCCACTTTAGTTATTCTGTTCCAATTATGCCATCTCCCCTCAAAATTGTCCCATCATTCAAAGCTTAATTTAAATGTAACCTTCTCTCTATAAACCTTCTAATCGCATGGTTATTTGTTCCTCTCTTTGATCTATATTACAGTTAACGGTGAGTCTGTATGTTTTCCTGCACTAGAACATATGTCCATCAAAGCATATGTTCATGTCTTAGCTATCTTTTATTCCTTTTGGTGTTTTATATATAATGGTACTCAATAAAAGTGTATTGAATAAATGAATGCATACAGCCACAAATAATTATTTTTGTCTGCCACATCAACATTGCAGAAGGGGAAAGCTAGGGCTGTGATGGAGGAACTGGCAGTCATTTTAATGACAGTCTTGCTGACCACATAGCAGCACCTCTGTATTCCCTTCCCCCTTTATAAGCCATGAGTAGAAAATTGTTATTTATTTATTTGGGTGTGGGACCTTTTCCCAGATACTGTGTTCCCTGGGGTATTTCCTTAGATGATGATTAAGAGACCAGTCTGGCTTCCTGAAGGTGGGGAAGAAGGAGAGAAGTGAAACGATGATTCTCCGTGAGCAATCCTCTAAGCTCCAAGGAGAGATTTCTCTCTAACTGGGTGATTAAGGAAGTTAGACTTCTAGGATGCCAGCAGAATGCCATTTGATTCTTTGTCACCCCTCTTCCTTTAAACCTACTCTGTTGAATCAATCTTCCCTACTCTTGAGTGAAGTCTGGTAGATTCCACAGCTCTTCTGACGTACTCAAGTGTTAAATAGTCTCTGAGCTTTTCCCCTTGCCCAGGATTAGAAGCCTATGGTCAGGAGAGGGTCATAGTGGGCTTTGTGACTCTCCCTCACTTCACTTCCTCCCCTAAGACAGGTGCAAGGAGGTTGGATGAGAGGGCAAAGCCTTTCAAGATTGATGCTGTCCTAAGTCGGTTTCAGGGCCCTCTATATCAGACATCAGCATTCTCTTTTTATCATGAGTTGCTTTTATAAATTCTTAGAGGACTCTTGGGGCTAGCAATCTCCTGGTAGCCATCCCTGATGTGGGTTTGCCTCTCCTGACTGACAGGTTATAATCCCCTCTTAGCCCCTGGCTTCCAGGGGCCCATCCAGACCCTTCCTCTGTGGGGATCATCTCACTCTTCCAGGAAATTCTCTTGGTCAGGGCCTGTTTTTTTTCTTTTTTTAATTGTGGTAAAACAGGCACAACATAAACTTTACTGTTTTTAAGCATACAGTTCAGTGGCATTAAGTACGTTCACATTGTTGTGCAACCATCACCACCATACATCGCCAGAACTTTTTCATCTTCCCAAACTGAAACTCTGTGCCCATTGACCCCCAACTCCTCATTCTTCCTTCCATGCAGCCCATGGCAACTACCGTTCTACTTTATGTCTATGAATTTCACTACTCAAGATACTTCATATGAGCAGAATCATACAGTACTTGTCCTTTTGTGACTGGCTTATTTCACTTAGCATAGTGTCTTTAAGACTCATCCATGTTGTAGCATGTGTCAGAATTTTCCTTTTAAGGCTGGTTAATATTCTATCGTAAGTATATACCACCTTGTGTTCATTCATTCATCTACTGATAGACACTTGGGTTGCTTCCATGTCAAAGTCCTTTTAAGCCTGGGTATCTTTCATAGGTCCGTTTGGTCCATGGGAAAACTCACATGTCTTCAACCATTAGATTGAAATGCAGGTCTTCTGCAAAGCAGCTCTCTTCTACTGCCCACTAACTTTTGGAATTTTTAGGCATGAATCAGGTACCAGTCTCTGTTCCCACACTATGCTCTGAGGAAATACACTGTAGGTCCTACAAGTGGTTCTCTGGAAGGAACTCTCAAGAAACCCCAAGAAATCCTCAATATGGGGCTCTCATGAACTGTTACCCTTTTTACACAGTGCCGAGTTGGGAAACCAGCACCTTAACTTGGAGGCAGGGGCATCTTCTTTCCAAGTCCTACATAGAAGGCCTAGATGGCCTTAGCACTCCCTTTAGAATGTGATACCCGTTGGTTTCAGCTATAAACTCAGACAGAGTCTCATTTAAACATCCTATTTTGTCTATCAAAATGATTTTTTCCAGACCAAGGTACTGTCAGACCATGATCCAATGATTGTCTAAATGATAAGTGTCAGGCCTGGGAAGACCCATGTTTATTTGTAGGTACAATGGATCCAGGTTCTCAATTACAAAGCCAAATGTAACACATCAGCAGAAATGGAATTGTTCCCACTTGTAAATTCTTCTTTACTGACAATATGTTGGGTTATGTAAACACTTCTTTTGGAGAAAAGAAAAAAAAGGAAACACAAATTAATTGCTCTTTGAAATGATTATGTAGTAATTAGTTCCCCATTGTAGCCACTACTACATCGTAAGTTACTTTAAAAAAGAAAGAAAGAAAGAAAGAAAAAAAAACTCTGGAAGCTGTTCTCTGTGAAAATTTCAGGCTTTTATTGAGCTGGTTTATAAATTTATGATCAAATTGTGGCTTTTAAAAAGGCACTAAGAAAATAATCATGCCAAATTTCTTGAACTTCTTTGAATAGCCAGTAAAGACCAACTAAACAGTGTGAGCTTCAACTTTTCACTTGCTGCTTTCTGTTGCCCAAAGAAAAGTCTCACAGTTGACATGCTGATTGGGCTTTTGGGGCATTCTAGCATAGCCCACACATTAGAATCAACAGCGTGCTTTTAAAAAATATTGATGCCTGCACCCTTTTCTAAACTGATTGAATCAAAATCTCTGGAAATAGAGACTGAGCATATGTATTTACAAAAAGTTCTCCATGTGATTCTGAT